TCTATCTATCTATCTATCTATCTATCTATCTATCTATCTATCTATCTATCTATCTAGGAGTAAACCCCATTCCTTATCCCAATATGACCAAGCTCCCCTCCCCACCCACAAAACCTACCTCTCTTGCTTCTTCTTAAGCTTCTCCATAAGCTGCATAAGAGAGAAAAAGCTGTAAGTTCCTGCCAGCAATCCTCGCTCTCCTACCCACCCAACAGTCTCCTGAGAATGTTGACCAGCCATACAAATCTCTCTCTCTCTCTCTCTCTCTCTCTCTCTCTCTCTCTCTCTCGTTCTCTCCCTCTTACCTTGGAGAGCTCTTGCTGCAGGCGGGAGGTCTCTGTTGTCTTGGATACCTGTAGGAGGGGAAGGAGAGGCAAACACATTTAAAGTCATTCACTGATCTGGCAATCGTTTTGAACAATTCCACCAAGTGGTTCTATAAGACAACACCCATTTTAGGGCAGTGGTGAGCCAAGGAAGAGGCAACGTATAGGTTTTCTAGTTCAGAAACCAGCATGCTGGGCATCATTTACTGTATACTAGGCAACCAAAAGTTCACCATTCACTCCTCTGGAAAGAAAAATAAAAATAAAGGCCTGCACTTGGGGACAAAGGACAAATCACTATGAACCAGAGTTTCCAGAATCCTTTCCTGCTTTCAAGTCTGTATAATATTCTTTACTGAAACATTCCCTGCTATGCTAACACTGGTCATTTTGCTAGTAACCATTATATTAGATCAGCACATTTCTAATTCAATGTGATTTAGTTATATTGTTAGAAAATGCATATGACTGCTTATATTTCACATGTTATAATCATGGACAGCTCACAGCAACATTCCATAAAAACAGACAAATAGAAATCCACAGACCTGCTTCCCCCGCAAAGAACTAATCATATATCCTGCCATGGTACCACAATATCCCACAATATCCAGATCTACTGGTCTCACTATCGCCCTAGCCCAATGCCTGAGTGAAGAGCCAGGATGTCACAGTCCTCCAGAATCTGGGGCCCTCCGTATCTCAGGGAAGAAGCTGTTCCAAAGGACCATGAAAGCCACAAAAAGAGAAGTGCCTCCAAGGTCCCTCCAGACGGCAACATTTAAAAGAAGAGAGCTGGAGGTGCCCACCTTATCTGTCCTAAAAATAACCTCGCCCTGGGCCATCAGGTCTTTCAACATGACAACCAGCACCCAGAACTGCATCTGGAAGCCAGTGAAACTCATATAGCAGCAGTGTTAATACAAGTGAATTGCAAGCTCTTCAGAACTGAGTACTGCTGCATGATGAACCAGGTACAACTTCTGGATGAACTTCAAGGGCAGCCCCAAGTAGCACATGAGAGTAATCCAAGCGAGAAGTGACTAAAGTGCAAGCTTCGTATGCAAATCCAGTTAGTATAAGCCAGGGCAACTGGGCGACAAGCGCTTCTCTGCTACTTGGGACTCTAGGGCCGGGATGGAGATGGAGAAATTCAATCTGGAGCAAGGAGTCTATGGTCCGCTGAGAGGCCACCAAGTTGCCAGTCGCGGGAACCCCAACCAGCAGAGCCTGTGGTGAGAAATGCTGAGAGTGGACAACGTTTGACCACATCCCATGGAAACACAACCTCCTCAGTCTCTGCATGGGATTTCTTCTCATATCCTGAAGGTCAATACTGAGGTCAGAACGTTCTGCTGTCTTCCATCTCCTTTGAAATAGCTGCGTTTTATGTGCAGTGAGGAATAACTCCCTGCTCCCTTACGGACTACTTCCCAATAGCTGCAGCCTCCAACCGAGGCAAAAACCAACATTGGCAAAGGAGGACAAATATCCAGGAGTCCTTCTTACCTCGAGGCTCTGCAGCTGCTCCTTCAGCAGTATTTTCTCCTCCCTCTCGGTCTGCAATCTCAGTTCGACTTCCAAAAGAAGCTGCTGGGAAATGGCACCACTACCGTCACTGTCAAACGCCGGCTGTTCCGAAGTCGTCTCTGGCACAGTGGAACAAGGATCCGGAGAACCATCGCCTTTCCCACCACCTCGGTTTTCTGCTTGCCGGGCTACTACTTCCTTCTCATAGCGTTCCTGTAAAGCTGCAGAACAAGGGTCACCCATTCTGAGCAGGCCACAGATTCCGTCTTCTGTATCCCTTTTAAATCTGTGGGGTTTTTTTTTTTTTTTTTAAACTTGGCAACTTTTAAGACGTATGGACCCACAATTCTAGATGGCTGGAAAATCCTAGAAGTGAAGTCCACCCATTGTAAAGTTGCCAAGTTTGAAAAATAATGATTTTTTAAATCAAGGATGGGCACTTTAAGGCCCAGGGATCAACTTTGTCTCCCAAACTCTTTTCCCAGCCCGGAACAGCCCTCCCTCTTTCAAATCTGCTGATAAAATCCTGAGACAAAGCACCCAGTAATAGTCATATGATGTTCAGTAGCTTTCATTAAAGCTAGAAATACAAATACATAATAGCTGACTTTCCAGTTTAGTTTACTTTATTGCCATTGCACCTTGTACAATAAAATTAAATACCATCTTCAGTGTACAATTTATGACTATGAAAATAAACACAAACACACATCACACCCCACACATTGAATTGAAAACCCCTGATATCGCATTAATATTGCAGTATACAGTTGAATTCAAAAGAGCTACTGCCCTGGGATAGAAGCTGTTTTTCAGCAGATTTGTTCTTGTTTTTATTATCCTGTACCGTCTGCCAGATGGTAATAGTTGAAAAAAGAGTTCCCAGGATAAGATGGATCTTTGAGAATGTTTTGAACTTTCTTAAAGCAGCAGGAGCTATAAAGCTCTTCCAAAGAGGGGAGAGGGCAACCAATGATCAGTATTACTGTGTAATACTGCAACTTTTCATCTACTATGAGCCCTTGAAACAAAAAGAAAATAAAAGTGTGGGCTACAGTCACAAGAATGTTACCTACTCTGATTATAAGTCATACTTTATTCTGCAAACAGTATTTTCCAAGTCCTCACATGACTGATGAAGGCTCATTGAATCCTCCACATCATTGGTGAATGATTATACGGGAAACTTACTGCAGTCTTCTTTTTTAAAAAAAGTTACTTCCTTTTTATGTTGCATCCAAAAGGACTTGTTAGAAGATGCTTCCCAGATTCCAGTTCTTCTCATAAAAAGTAAGCAATTGGCTGATTAGCCAATTGTTAGCAAATTGGCAATCAGCCCCAATTAAAACTCTTAAAAGGACAAAGACAAAGAGTCCAGCCTATTGGATTTCCTGCTGTTTCTTGCTTTCTCAGCAATTATCTTCCTTGAACTTACACTTCTATTGCCTCCTTCCATGACTTGGCTGTAGATCTTAGCTTTGTCCCCTACTCAGCTCCAACATTTGCACATTCTGGCCTATTCATGGCACGTGGAGGCGGGGCCATACAGCAGGCACCCCTTGAGAACAACTGCCAGGCTGAAGGATCGGATCAGCTTGCAGGCAATCTTCCCCATTGTGCTGTGTGGATTTGATGCCACGAAGTCTCAGCAGAGGCCCATGTTTAGGGAAGGTTGCTCTAGAGTGCTCCACCTTGCCAACCTTCCCCCTGTCCAATTCCTTGGACTTTCCAAACTTCAATTAAGAGCCCCCACACTTGTATGTCAGCAAGAATGCTACCTGCCATGTTCTTCTGCAGGGCAGAATTCTCTGCCTGTAGCCTTAACAGCTCGCCATCCACGGGACTGGCTGGGAACGCCCCTTCGCTGGCTAATGCGGTCTTCCCTTCCCGAAGAATCTGATTATCCTTCTCCAACTGCTCAATCTGCGAGCACAGCTGCATTTGAAAAACCAAAGGACTGGATTTCAGTGAGTAAATACATTTCCCAGAACACTGAACAAAAACACAGGTGATCCACCTGAGGGAAATTGGTCTGCATCTGATCCCTGATCATCATGGCAAGAAAAAGCATTTGTTATCCCAGCTCCCCAAATAAGTCCCAAGAGTGTGCGGGGTCTCCAACCCCCAGGCCACAGCCCACTACTGGGGCATGGCCTGTTGGAAACTAGGTCATGTGAGGGATGGGCGCTTGAGTGGAGAGCACTTGTGCTTGGGCGTGAAGCTCCACTTGCGCTAATGGAGCTTCGAGCATGAGTACTCACCGCTCACGCAAGTGGAGCTTGTGCTTGCATGCCTCCTCACACGCTCAGCTCCATTAGCGCAAGTGGTGGGCTGAGCACATACGCGTGCACCTTACACACACACACAAACACACATTCTGCCAGGCTGCCAAAGTGGAAAGGTTGGAGACCACTTCTCTTTAGAGTTGACTACAAAGGATGTAGTGATCCTTCCCCTCTTCAATGGCTTTGATTTAATGAACTAGAAGCAATCTAATAATCACAACAAATGCATGGAAAGATCCCCCCCACCCCCCGCTGATCAGCCTGCATTTTTCCAAACTCAATAAGCATGCAAACAGCGGTTGCTAAGAAAAGCTTCCCACTCAGAATGCTTTTTTAATACCACACAAGTGACTCAAATACCACATTGTGAGAGTGGAAGGAAAAAGATTATTGTTATTATTTTTTGCAGTAACTTGACTTGTCAATTGATAGGCAAACTAGGGTGAAAGACAAGGAAAAAAAAATTCTTCACATGCACAAGGAAGCTTGTTGAGGAGCTGAAGGCTGGTATTCCTCCCACCCAGACTTTATATATAGTATTTGCTTTGAGCCAGCTGTGGTAACAAACAGAAGCAATGATTAGAAAAGATAAGATGAACCATGGAAGAAAAGAAAACCTCTGAGACTTGAACTGAAGATGCTGGTTTAAAAGTATTAAACTATATAAGTAGTTAAATATGCTGAGCAACATTTTAGATTCAATGTGCAAAATGTGTTTTGAAGGACATAGGAGAGTGAACTTAGCACTTCTCTGTAGCACCTTTGCAAGATCTTTTCTCAGAACCAATCCTGGGGAAGAGAGCAGCTGCTTTAAGGGGCTCAGGACAGGTTACATCTGCACACCTGTGCCCTCCCGTAAACTGTTTGGCAACTGAGTCTGAAGCCCTGCACAGTCCTAATTTATTCTGCTTTGATTTTGAATGTGGATCCTGCAGTTTTGTAACCATGTTTTGAAGATCTGGTTGTTTTCAAAGCAAGGCTGGATAGCCATTTGCTAAGATACTAGACTTTGGATTTCGGCACTAGCCAGATGGTTGAGTGTACCTGCCTAAACGATTCCTTCCAACTCTATGGTTCTGGAATTCTAGCTTAGAATTCTGCGTGGTTAATCAGCAGTGCTATTTCGTGTCACACAGCACCCCCTGGCATGACCCTGGTGGCACTGCAAAGAGAACATTAGTCCAGTACCTTGGAGAGCTCCTGCATGAGAGTGCTATTTTGCAGCCTGAAGTCATCCTCTTGGCTATGCAGTTTTCCCTGAAGCATTTCATTTTCACTAAGAAGTGCATCCACCTCCTAAAAAGTCAACAAAATTGCATGAGACCCCACACACATAATCACTGCAAGGTTCACTTCCTTCCACTAGATGGCAGGCAAAACCAGAGAACTAAGATTGCCCCATTTGACTTAGATTGCTTATACCAGGGGTGTCAAACTCAAGGCCCATGTGCTGTTTCCAGCCTGCAGGGTGCTTAAATCTGGCCTGCAAGGGGGCGGGGGGTGGGGGTGGCAGTTGAAGTTATCTGGGAGAAGAAAAGGAAGACTTGCAGAGAGACAAAACAAAAATATTAGAAATGAGTGATGGCAGATAGTCTGGATCCAGGCAGGACTGAATTTAACATGGCAATTGATGCTATAGACTGATGCCTTACCTGAGCTTTTTTACTCTTATTCAGAGCCTGTGAAAGAGAGAAAATTGTTAACCAAGCACCAATAAGATTTAGACACAGTGCCAATTATATGAAATTCTGACATAAACAATCCTTATTGTTTACACTCATAGATCCTCTAAAGAATGATTACAAACTCCTGTAATCATAGCTTTTGAATTTGTTTAACTCTTTTAAGAACCCAGTTGTTTCCTTTCACCATTTAGGAATGGGAATGTAATATGAGAGAAGATTGTCTACAATTATTATTGTACATTTTTTTAAACTTAAAATATTTGAATGTAAAAGAGAATATAAGGAGTTGGTATCACAATTTTTAATACCTGTGAGTTTTTTAGTTAGTTTTATCCAGAGTGCAGTATAAAAATCAAGAAATATCCACTAGTGTTCTGTGATACCTTGGTGATATTGCCCTCAAAGGAAAATTACATTTTAGGCTAATGTAACTGTATTATTCCATTAAAGAATCTCACTTTACCTTCTGAGCCTTAGCAAATTCCTTGTCTAAATAGGAGACCCGTTGTCGGAGCCCATTTAATTCTAAAAAAATCAAGAGAAAAACAAATCACAATTAGGAAAATATTATAGAAACAGAACACCTATCTTTTGCCATCCTGAACCTGTAGGATAAGGTATGAAATATGGTATCTAATCCTGAACTTCTGATCATTCTTATTTTTTTGAATGTGTACTTAAAAGTCTGCTACTAGCCCTCAGGTCTATCAGTCTGCCAAATGTAAAAGAATTATGCAGAATTATGCAATTATGCATGCTTGCTTGGCCTTGTGAGCACCAAAATAAAAGACACATCAGACTTGGAGAAGTATTGCAACAAGATAAACAAGAGAACATTTTAATTACAAATTGAGAAAGATTTTTAAAAACTTTTTATGCCTTCAAAATGATGCAGAGAACATAGTCCTATTAAAGATGGGAGAAGCAATAAAGGAATAACAAGAACAACAACAAAAGACTAAACGAAATCTTATTTCCTCTCCAAGAGCCAGAGAAGATACAAGGAAGGAGGAAAAGAGGTGAATGTTTTTACAGTTGTTTTCTGAGCCAGAATAAATATAAGTTGGCCAAATTCCTGAGAACTTTATTCTGCTTTTGCTCTTCGTGTGGGGGGATGTGCCGCTAAATAGGCACCAAAGCCTTATTCTCAAACCACAGGAAAGCTTCTTTGGCAATCTGTCTACTCCTAAGGTTTCATCATACATTGTCTGTGCATCTTCAGAAATAACTTCCCAATCAAATCGCTGAGAAAGCCATTTCTTTTAAATAGGAACTGAATTCAATGGCCAATATTGTATTCTAACTATTTCTTGTAACTTTTCATAGCTATTCATTCACTGCTTTCTTTCTACTACGCCTTTCCCCTGAATTTCAGATTTTGCAAGAGTCATGCTAAACCAGTATGACTGAACCAGCACAACCATATGCAAACATAAGCATATATGAATATGTGCAGACATTTTGATGCTTTCACATTGGGTACATAATATAATGGCTCAGATCCCAGGATTACTCGGGAAGTAGAACTGAGGAGAAAGTCTTACCGGTTGTGTTCTTGCGGAGTTCATCAGAGAGCTGGTAGTTCTGCGTTCGAAGTTCTAATAACTGGGCCTACCAAGAGAAAGAAAAAAGATTTTAACCAACCTCACCAAGAAACATCATACAGATGACTACGCAGGATTAAGGCAGGAGCCAGCAGCTTCTTCAACAGAAATGGCTGCTCAGCTTCATGGCCCTCAAGTACTATGCCACATATCCACTAATTCCGAAGTTGCACATACAAGAGTGACAGCGGGTAATGTCAGTTCTGCATGGCTTTACTCCTGACTACAAAAAATATTCTAATCTAGTTGAACCAAGTCTGGGAATCACTGCCAAGTCAAGCCAAAGAACTGAGCTAAAGCCATGAAGGAGATTTACTCTTGAGGTCAGGAAACCCAGCAGTTCATTTCAAAGCTTGGGTTCAGAACGTATATTGTTTGAGATGCAGCGTTTATGAGTCTTTTGCAAATTGTGAGCAACATTGCTACTAATTCTTAATTACTTTTAAAATAACTCTGTATTATTCTTGACTGACAAAATGAAATAAATATTAATCCAGAAGTGCCATTACTGAGAGGGCTTTGAACCCAGTTATCCAAAATTCATCCAGTGAATCAGACTGGCTTTTAAGAGTTGGAGAAAGAGGATGCAAATAGAAAAGTTTCTATTGCCTTGTATTGTGATCTATAAAATTTGTAAATTCCATAGGGGGATTTATTTTCCCCACTTATTCTTCTACCCTTCTAAGGCCTTGAAAACTACACTCCAAAAGTGTCTTCTGCCAAACCCGCTGCAGCAGCATCTACCATCAATACATCATATTTCTAATTCTGGGCTGGCAATCACAATGGTTAGTTGTTGCAGTGATTTAAGACAGCTAATATCTCTGCTCTAATTCTGCACTCTCCTCAGAACATCAGAAATTTTCAAGTTGTACTGAACATGTGAAAAAAAATCCATATTAACCTGCTTTTTCTCTCCATAAAGATATTTGTACTTCAGCACCAAACAAAAATTAAGTATTAACTGAGAGTCTATGGAGATTTTCAGTCATCCGGGTCATGGTTGTCTCAAAGGTGCTTTTTCAAGAGGCAATTGGACTTTCAGATAGTCCTATTAACAGGGAGTTGCAAATAACTCTGCAGGTATCAAAAACTTACCTGACGTAAAGTATTTGTTTGAACAAATAATAAGGAAGCAAGTAATTGGCCAAGTTCCACATGGCACTGCAAAAAATTAGTGTCCACATATGCTGAATTTTAAAAAATATTATTAAATTTCTACACTGTCCATCTCACCAAGGTGACTATTATCCTGATAACAAAACTGATCAACTCTTTCACTTGTGGAATTTTCAATCAGGCACAAAAGATTAAATAAGGATCAGTAAACATTTATACTCTGAAGAGTTTAATCTGTGATCACAAGAAGAGAAATAAAAGAGAGGGATGGAATATATGATCTTGATGTATTCAATACACCTTGAAATGGGGAACACTATTCACTTTTTATCATGTTTATGTTACACCTGGAAAAGGTGTAAAGGCAAGAGAGAGAAAAACGACACTACTTCACTTGCAGAAATGAGCTGAAATGGATCCTCGGTCAACCTTGAAAACAATACACAGTAATGCAACTCTGAGTAGGTGCGTGGGTAGGTGTGTCTGTACGTATTTTCCTCTATATAGACTTTCACAATGTGGTGCACACACCCAATATGTTCAACTGCTATCTCTATGGGCTCTGTGATTGGGATTTGTAATCTGAAACACTCAGATGTTATACCAGGTTTGTTAAAGCTTAACAAATACAATTCAAAGAGCAGAGCTTCTTTAACACATTTGCAAAAGGAGAGATGCTGAGAAGCAGAGTTTGTAATGCCCGGGGATGAGGGGGAGGAACTGTCTCTGGGAAAATTTCTTCTCTTATACAGTCTCCCCTAAAGGGACACCAGCCCCATTTTCCTTTAGGTCACCCCAGTAGTGGGATGACTAGCGCCAGTTCCGCATCTGTGGAGGCGGGCAGGGGTGGGGGCGGAGAGCAAAAGTGAGGAAACGCAATACCAAACCAAGGCTCAACGCCGACCTCAAGCGGGGTGGCGGCTCCGTTCCAAGCCCTGGGGACCAGCTAGTCAATACCCACCCACCTATTCATGAATGAATGAGTTCCCAAGGCAGCCTCCCACCCTCTCTGTCCTCCCGATGGGCTCAGCCACTACAACTTCCAGAAGCTGCCCTTGAGGAGGGATCTTGGGAAGTGTAATCCAAGCAGACCAGCTGGGGGCCAAGGCTGGCTTCGGGCGCTTTAAACGAGCGCCGATGCGTCCCCATAAAGGTTCGAAGCACGACTGCGGAGAACAGGCGTAGGGAACTTAGGAAAGCAGCTGCGGAGGGCTCCCCGCTCCTTACCGAAACGTCGGTTTTGCTCCAGCCGCATGGGGAGCAGCCCCCACCCACCCCCGCGCAAAAAAGATGCGCCCCCATGCACAGCTCTTGGGACATTGCGCCCCCTCCTCTTGCCTTTGCACCCCCGACCCTTCGCCACACTCTCTGCTGGAAAAGCTTCCCGGAGCCCGCTCCTCCAAGGCGCGTCTCTTCCCTCACTCCCGTCCGAGGATGCTTCACGGGTCTCCGACGGCGTCTCTTGTTTTTCCGCCCGCCCCCACCCCTACCCCTCCAGCCAGAGTCAGACGCACCTGCATGCGCTCGAACTCCTCTTCGGACAAGGCCTGCGCCATCTTCCCTCCCCCGCCGCCCCCCCGGCTCGGCTCCAGCTTGGTACGATCCAAAGGAGAGAGGAAGAAGGAATCACGAGCCTGCCCCTGCCCACTCGTTGGAGAAGGATGACGAGATGGCTTTAAGAAGATATCATAGAGGGAGCAGGAGAGCGGACGGATGTTTTGAGAGACGTTCACTCTCTCTCTCTCTCTCTTTTTTTTTGTCTGCACCGGAGAGAGAGGAACAAGCGGAACCGGCGGACTGGAGCTTGGAGGCCGGAAGTGAAGAGGCATAGAGATGTGAGTGGGCACTAATGAAGAAGGATGATTCATAAGCGGAGCTTTGGCGCCCGAGGCAGTAGGGAGGGAGGGACAGGGAGTAAGAGGAGAAAGTGTAATGCAGCGGTTCGGATGCTCCCATAGAAACAGAAGCCTAGAGAGGATCCAGGCGTTTTCCCGTCAGGGTCATAGAGATGCCGGAAGTGATTGAGCTCATAGAAATAAGGAGTGCAGTATATATTATAGATGAAAGCGAAATGGCCGAGGAGGTGAGCGAAGGAGGCGACTTCGGAAGTGATCGATAACAATTGAAAATTTGCCTCTTCGGTGCCTTCTCCTTCCTTCGGTCACGTCACAGTCATTTTTTCCTCCATTAGATATAAAGTCGCCAGTAGCTGACAGTCGTGCGATCATTTCTACCTCCACTCTGTGTGTGTGTGTGTGTGTGTGTGTGTGTCTACCTGGATGGAATCGAAATCTTTTGCTTACAAAACGGGTGTTCCAAGAACTGCTACCCCCGAAACGGGAATGCTAACGGATAAAGCAGCGCAATGGCACCTCTTGCAGGAAAGAAAGCAGAAGGCTGCAATCCTACACCAACTAAATTGCGATTGAGGCCTCTTTTGTTCAATAACATTGCAAATTATGTAAAGGAATGTGCTGCGAGGGTATAATCCTAAACATGTATACCAAATATACTTACTGCTATACAAATGATTATAGGGAAATAGTCTCTTCAGAAGATTCCCAGGTCTTAATATACAGTATTTGATTTATGCAAGATAATTACATCTGTTAAAGCTACCTCATACTAAACCAGATGTACTTGTTTCACACAATATAAAGTGTGTGAAATACTATTTCTTTAGAGAACAAATTAAATGGAAGCTTTATCCATGTAACAAGTCCCATTCTGCAGCTGTTCCCCCCCCCCCATTTATTTCCCTTGTGATTGACAGTTTGAGGCCCACTCACTAAATCCCATTAAGTGGATGATTAGAGTTTGAATTAAATCTAATTTTTACACCACTATCTTCTATTTTATCCATGTAATTAGTTCAGACTTTTCTAATTTTCAAAATTACAAACTACATTGTGAATTAACATCTGCAAATTTTTCTGTAAAGAATTCATCTGCTTAGACTTTAGTCTAAGAAATCTCTCTGGGAGGGCCACCACTATTGGGAAGTTAACACAATATTGAGGAATGGCTTCTTATAATTTTGAATCAGTACCAATACAAATAAGACTACCAGCCTTGAAAGCTATCTTATCCAGTGGTTAGCAGCTTCCCAAAATGCATGAAACATACTGGCCATAAATACTAAGATCTCAAGGCAGAGAGCATTCCTTATTTCCAAAGTGATACAAAAGAGATTCAATGTAACTGTATTCCAAACTAGGATTTGTCTGTCCTTTGGAAACTGTTGCTACTAGAAGTTTATTAGGTTTATCATTCGCTGAGTTTATGGCAAACCATGCATGCATTAAATATGTATCCATTTATGAGAAATAACTTTGTATTTAAATACAGAGTTATTCCTTGTAAACAGATTGTTTCATTTTGCCATATCAGCCTTCCCTGCAATTTAACTGTTTCTTTTGTAAATAAAATCTTTGATTCCTCGAAAGCCTGCTAAGTACCCTATAATTAGCTTATAATTTTTTTAGTGTCATGCTAAGGTAGAGGTGTCAAACTCGCAGTGTCACATTACCATCACATTTTTCCCTTTGCGGAGCTGGGGTGGGTGTGGTCAGTGCATGACGCATTCGGTGGGGTGTGTGTGTGTGCCAGTTTGACACCTCTAGGCTAAGGTCCAAAAATCAGGTCCCTATACCTCAATAAATAAAAACAAACATGTCATTTATGAAAGATGCTTAATTCTTAAGGCTGATGACAAAGCTTAATTTATATAATTATAATTTATCTTGAACATATTTCATGAACTTCAGTGAGTGTATCACTTATTTGTGAGTATTTGAAGAGATAACAGACTTCATAATGACTAGAAATTGATGCACTCAGCATTCTAGAATCAGAAATTTGCATCTGAATGCCAAGTGTGACCTAAGTGTGACATAGTGACCCTGATTGTATTGAGTCTTTGATAAAAGCATGGGCAAAACACATTAGTTACAAAAATTGCATCTGAGATTTTTTTGTTCTGTTACTGACTTCAAAACAGAAACTAAATTAATGTTGGTCAGTTGGAAACCCAGAGGTCAAACCACCTTGTCATCAAAGTGTGAAACAACTGTTTTCTCAGCCATCCTTTATGTAAAATAAGGTTCACGAATGAGTCTTCACCAGCTTGAATTCAGATCCTTATTTTCAGCATCAGAAATCTTGATATATTTTTTTATCACCAACCTGATATGGCTTTTTTAAAAAATAAACAGACACCTTACATTTTGCATGACACAGTGATGAAACAAGTGACATAACTGGCTGTAGAAAATGGACATTGTTCATTTATTTGTTTAGAAGCCTCTAGTATTGGTAATTGTAAATGTTTAAACATACAAAATAAAACAGTAGAAAGTGGTGTCTGGGTCATTAAGGATGTAGAATCCACAAAAGAGTCTCCTCAAATTTGCAATTCTCCCCCTTTTTCATACCCTGAACAGTCCAACTCAATTCCCATTAAGAACCGAAACCACTTGTCCAACCTGAATTTCCAAGCTGCTCTGTCCTCTGCCATCTTTCTTTCTTGCCAACATGCTAAAATACGAATGTGCAACATCTCACTTACACTGACCATCTAATCCCATTTCCTTGTCTCCTGCTCAAGAAGATCTTAGTTGGGAAGCTGCCCAGGTACTCTTCTCATTCCCAAATTGCTACTTATTGCAATAGCAATCGTACTTAGACTTATATACCACTTTATAGTGCTTTACAGCCCTTTCTCTCTCTAAGAGAGAAAGAGTGGAAGACTGAGTCAGCCTTGAGCCTGGTGGGATTTGAACAGCTGATAGCCAGCAGAAATGGCCTGCAGTACAGCATTCTAACCCGTGCACCACCAAGGCTCTTATCACATCCTCCTATAAAGTTCAGTCTATATCCTGTTCATCTTCAGATCCCACCCCTCTGAGGAAGTTCCTCCCAGATTCAGTTACCCTTCTTGAAAAACAGAAATGCCAAGCAACTATTTAAATCTAGACATTCCAAAGAGTTTGTGTGTTTAGATAACCTTTTGGAACAGGCTCATCATATCTTCTTAAGAGCATTCATACATATGGCGGTGACAAAGTTTCCAGTGAAGCCCAAATGATTGTCTTTGCAACAATTTTGCCCATTCTTTTAAACATCCAGAGAACAGGTCATAGATCCAGTATTTTTAGTGTAACAAATCAGCAAACAGTTCTATTTGTTGGGTTTCTGCTAACATCAATCTGGTAAGCAAGAAATTAGTTTTAAAAAACCTGATTAGTTTCACTTATCTTACAAAAAACAGGGGAGGTGGCAATTAATTCCTACTGAGTAGCCATGACTCTTCAATAGTTATATGTGAAATTCCAAGAAAGTTATTTACTTTTCTTTGCCCTGCACCTTTGTCCAGTGAAATTCCAAGAAGTACCATCTTGTTGTCCCTCCACATGGGCTAGTCGTATCATGAAGTAGAGTGCCAAGCAACTCATATATTAAATGCGAAGTAGAAAGTGGCAGTTTAGTAAAACTTGGAAACAGTGACAGGGAAAGGCTAAAAGGTACAAATTAAGAAGTCCAATATATCTATATAAAATAAAGCTCTCATTTTAAAAAAATGTTAGTGGCTCTCTGCTTTCCAAAAATGTTATGAAAGAAGTCCACTTTCTTCCTCCCCTCCCTTCCCAATTCTTCCCAAATTATATACAGGAAAGATGCAAGAGTAAAAGGTTAAGTGAAGGAATCAAGGTTTGCGATTACATGCTCCTTGCACAGCATTAAAGCAACACCCTATGGAAGTTTAGAATAGGTACAGGAGATGCACAAGTTTATCACACTGCGCTTCTGAGCCTTAATGGGTGCAGATAACATACAAATTGTCCTACAATTTGTAACAAAATTCTGCTTCTACTGCACTAAGAAGAAAGTTTGGTACTACGCGGTTTGAGCCCACCTTCTATAGAAGAAAATTTAACCACGAGCCCCCTCCATTTGGCTAAAGGGACACCTTTAAAAATACAGAATATTATGAAAGGAATGATACTTCCAGAGGGTTATAGCCTACAGCAGCCTCCAAGATTTGAAGCTGTTGAGTGTAAGCAGCAGTCTGCCATGGGTCAGAACAAGACATGTAAAACGGTGAAGCCGTTTCCAGCCCTTCCATCCAAGGGCTGCCATCATGAATCATCTTCCATGCTAAAGCTAGAACGGCGGCTGCTGCCCTTTGAGGCACCAGGAGAGACAGAGGAAAGGAGTGGATCAGAGGCACCCAGTGGGGACAGCGCAGTCCCATCGTCCATGAGAACATCTTCCAGGGCTCCCCCATCAGATCCCATTGCGAGACCCAGACCCAGCTCTTCAGCTGAAAAGGGCAGGTCCAGGGGCTCCGCAAAGGGTGGAATGGGGTCTCCTCCCAAGGACTGTGCCAGAAGGCCCTGGGTGGAAGTCAAAGGCAGCCCATGCATCTGAACCTGAAGTTCCAGCTCCTGAGGAGGAAATTACAGACAGGCTTATGAGACTCTGCAGCAGGCCTGAGCTGCCCTGTCTTCCTCCCACCGCCACCCACCTTGGCAGCTGTCCTACCTGGACTCGTAGCTGCAGGCTGCGGTTAGCTTGCTCCAGTTTACGCTGCCTCAGCTCCATCTCCTTGGAGCGTTGCTGTTCCTTCTGCAATTTGCGGATGTAATCTACTGAGGCCTTCAGGATAGTCCCTTTATTCCAGCGCATTTCCCTAAAATATGCAGTGAGGGGAAGGTAAGAGAACAGGAATTAAGCTTACTTAATTTGATTCTGTAAGGGTAGTTTCTTTCAACTAGGCCCTACAAATGTGTTGTACTGCTAAACTTCCAATGTTCCCAGTCGGCCTGGGCAAAAGACAATATTCAGTCCTGCATAAACCCACAGCCCCTGAAGGACTGAACCAAGACAGGCTTCTCAAGGTAAAGA